TAGTGATTTATGAGTCAAAATTATTTAAATAATTAAAATGAAACATTCTTTAATTATACACCAATTTTCAGTGTATATAACAGTCGTTCGCAACCCAAAATAGGGTCGCAGGCCTGTCCTGGAGAAAATCAATGCTGAATGCAAACAATAAAATGCTACAAATCATATAATCATGCGGAGTAGAAAAATAAATATGCTTATAAACTTTAAAAAAAAAAAAAAAAACATAAAAGGGATGAACATTTTATTTTTTTCAACAATTCCCAATTCAGCCTGCATCATGTTAATACCATTGCTTATGATTTGATCTATATTTATTGTAATATTAAAATATAATACTAATACCAAAGTTTGATTATAACAATATTGATAAGCAGTTGCCAATGTGATTCTCAAAGCAAAATCCGGGGCTTGAAACTTTACCAATAAATGTGAATTCTTACACTGATTTTGCTTAAATTTGGTCTCTTATCTGGAAATAATGTCAATTCAAATGTGCTCCTGTAAACAACAATATTAACAAGTTCATTGAATCCTGAACTCTTCCTGGTTTTTATTTGTCCTAGCTGGAGGCCGGTCCTCTGGCATAAACCATCATCTCTCCCTCTCGTCAATGCCAGCGTCCTGCCCTCCACTTGTACCAGACCAGTCAACACATTAAATCGTGACTAGCCCATGGCATCCATCCAACCGCTCTCAACAAAAAGCTTATATTCCCCTGCAACGTGCCAGCCCACGCATACTGACCGTGCCCCAGTAACGACCGGCATATGGAAAACAAATTGCCGAGGCCGGGATCAGACACCACGCGGATGTTTAAGGCCTCGTGGCAGCCCACCCGACAACTCCCACTATTATTTATCATGCTGTTTTAAATGTTTTTCTCATTTGTTTCCCCTAAATATTTCATCGTCTCCTTAAATATTCATTTAACAACTTCTGCTTTTGATTTTTTTTTACCAGTTTCTCTTTCTCCACGCATCTTTCTCGGGCTCAGCAATCATAAATAATTATGCATGTGCTCCTAGAAACAGACTGCATAAATCATGCACATGAATTCTTTTTTGTCTTTTCTCATTAAGACGTGTACTTCAACTAGCCTAAATACTTCCAACTGCCCCACTTGTGGAAATTGGATGCTCAATCCAGCAATATCAGCGCTTAGATGGGTTTAGCCTCTTGGTAGGCTATTACACCAATGTTGTTACCTTTCTATGCGGTCATCTTGAATGATGCTTTGTTAGCGCAACCGTTTTAAACTCTCGCTAACTTGTAAACATTTAGGCAATTATCTTTTCTGAAATCCAACTGAGTGGCTCTTTCATGCCAGCAGAAGCAGGGAAATATGTTTGCTCAATAGCTTCCTTGTTATGTCCTCATAAATTAAGAACTCACTTCATCTCGTCGCGCTCCACTAAATGTTTTTCTCATTTGTTTCCCCTAAATATTTAATCGTCTCCTTAAATATTCATTTAACTTCTTCTGCTTTTGATTTTTTTACCAGTTTCTCTTTCTCCACGCATCTTTCTCGGGCTCAGCAATCATAAATAATTATGCATGTGCTCCTAGAAACAGACTGCATAAATCATGCACATGAATTCTTTTTTGTCTTTTCTCATTAAGACGTGTACTTCAACTAGCCTAAATACTTCCAACTGCCCCACTTGTGGAAATTGGATGCTCAATCCAGCAATATCAGCGCTTAGATGGGTTTAGCCTCTTGGTAGGCTATTACACCAATGTTGTTACCTTTCTATGCGGTCATCTTGAATGATGCTTTGTTAGCGCAACCGTTTTAAACTCTCGCTAACTTGTAAACATTTAGGCAATTATCTTTTCTGAAATCCAACTGAGTGGCTCTTTCATGCCAGCCGAAGCAGGGAAATATGTTTGCTCAATAGCTTCCTTGTTATGTCCTCATAAATTAAGAACTCACTTCATCTCGTCGCGCTCCACGAGAGGAAAACATCAAACATCTCGCGCCCCGACTCAGGAAAAAGAAAGTTTGCTTTTGAAACATTCACAACACCGATGGAGAGAAAGAAAATCAGATACGCAGCCCGGATGTCAAGCGAATCAAATCCCGTTGAACACACTCCTGATCACACACAGGATTCCAAATGTTTGAGGAGGTTATTTCTGAGGAACGAGTGTATTTTAGCTCATTTGCATACAGGCAAATCAATATTTTATTCTTCCTTTTAGTCGCTGTAAAGTTTTTTACTCTTGTCACACCATCTTTAAGAAGGCACAAATACCTCAGTCCATCTGTATGGAGAAAATAGACATTTTTATTATCAGTCAGACAACAAACATTTGATAATTAGAAAAGAGGAAAAAGTATAAAACAACCTATTTAATGAGTTATTAAGCAAATTTACTCGAGTTAATGAGAAGTCCAGGACTAACCGTCATTTTCATAGTGCAGATATGCACATTTTGTGCACAAATTCTCACATCAAAGTCAGCATCTGGTCTTTATTCGTGTATAACGCCTGAACGGAGCCATCGGCAAACATCTCGGCAAGCAGAAACAAAAAGGTACTGTAAACTTTGAATATTGTGGGATTATCTGTTACTTAATGAGGCCGTTCGATCAGACAGAGCAAATAGCAGTATGCTAATTAGTGATTATACTCAATGATCCTGAGCACACATCGCAGATATCTGTGGTATTATGGAGCAGTTCATATTCAGTCACATTATCAGTCTCCTATAGCCAGAAGCTATCAGGCACAGTGCGTCCATATCCGGATAAACCATGGTAAAATCAGTGCAACTTCTGAAAATATCTCTGTATTTTACATTGTGTCTATTTTGCATTTTAGATTTTAGTGGTATGCAGTCACAAACCTATAAGCTCTGTACATTTTCTTTGTTCTGTCACAAAATTAGTGAAAGCTCAGAGTCCTCTCTCATTTGCATACACTAATTGCTCATTCTCATCATGCAGTATGAAGTAACCTCATTTGATAATAAGACAAGACCAATAAATCATGGACTTCATCATTAAATGAATCACTTCCTGGGGGAATATTGATAGCTTTATCTAATTGTTTAAAGAAAAAAGAAGACTAAAAACTAAAAATATTTCTACCCCTGTGCCATTTATAATTATTAATAAATGATTTACATAATTATAGTTTATAATAAAAGTCTTTGTAATTGTAATTATATTTGTAGGTGTTTGCTCATAATTGCTCATTCTGAAAATGCACATTTCAGTGGTTTTTATTTGATATTTTGAAAAAATTCTTTGCAGAATATTTTAACATCAAACATTTTGACATCTCAAAATCATTTTAGAGATTTTTATTTCTCTCTCTAAATATACAGACAGCATTTTTAAACTAGTGTGTTAAAATTTAAGCCTACAGCAACACTGCTGAACTGCCTGTTTTATTATGTATAACTGTCTCTTTTTTATGCTGCCTTTTCTAGGATTGGAAATCTGTTTAAGCAAGCAATCAACATTTTAGATGTTTCATATTATGTTATAATTATATGCATTGCATTAAGTAAGCATTGCTATTAAAATCACAAAATTTGACTAATTACTGTTAGTGAACTAAAATTTTAATAAATTAATGAATTAAAATTATCTATCTATCTATCTATCTATCTATCTATCTGTCTTCATTCTCGACTAAAGTCTATGTTGTTGAAAACTACAGACTGGCATGAAAACGTCTCTGCTTTAGACATCTCCGATTTGAATTCTGCATCACTAAAACATCAATGACTTATTATAAGCAGGTGTATTGAAGTAATCAAAATCAAGTAGTAATCAAGTAAATACAGTCTTATAAAAATTAATTTGTGGGGAAAAAATTAACTTCCATGTTCTACCATATTTTGGAGTATAAAAACATTAATCTAAAAAAAAATATTCATTGTGATTTCATTCTTGACACTGAATCATTAATCTTCAATTATTAGGAAGGTTCTTCTATTCAGAGATTAATTACTGAAAGAGCTCATCTAATATAGTGTTCTGTCGCCACCTAGTGTATAGATCAATACTTGACAGCCTTATGTTATTACATCTATTCATTTGACTAGTTAGGTCAGAATCATACATCTAATGTTGGTTGCATACATTGGTGTTTCCTTAACTATGGACACTTTTCGCCCTGAGATCTTAAAAAAAAAAAAAAAATCAAACTATTTATTTAGTCTGCTAACAATATTCAACAGTGGACACATTCATCACAGAGGAATTAAGTCACTGCCATTTTCGGAACAACAACAAAATCCATCCACCGTTGTCATTTCAATTACATCTCAATTTATTGAATATATATTCTCCTTAGAGTTTTTTTAAGGAAAGTCTTGCTAAGGCTAATTTCATGACTAGCTAATGCACATAATTAAATGTAAGTTTCACACTTCCTTCCATAATTTGACAAAATGGAATAAATATTCTGTCTAAATGTGATATTTACCTTGAATTTCTTCGCACACCACGTCTCATATTTAATTTTAAGCTCTTCACGGACGCTTTTGGCCTTGGTAAAGTTCACTATTGAAAAAACTGTGATGGAATTGACGTCACAGCTATGTGATTACTTAATTAACTTTAATTTTAGTTCTAGTTCTAGTAATTTTGTGTTTTTGTCGTTTTTATTGTTTTAAAATGTCTGTATAGCTTTTCTTCATTTTAATTTCAGTTTTAGTTTGAGTTATTTTAGAACATCAAGATAAACTAAATGAAAATGAGAAATGCTGCCCTGTCAACTAGCTGAAATAAATATGTTTAAGTTATTATATTTTATTTTATTTCAGTTAACATTTCGTTTATTTCAAGTAATGCAAATGTATTTATTTATAATTTTTTTTTGTTTAAGTTAACTAGAATAAATACGTTCTTGTTAATGTACTTTTACTATTAACTAGGCATTAAATCACATATTAGGTACTCCTTTTACAGCCATTCGTGACTTTTAAGAAAGAAACCGGCAGACTTTTATTTTGAATTAGAGCAACATTATGACAGGAAGTTGTACGTGTTATTGAGTCAGACTTCAGCGCAGTTTACCCGAGACTTCCAAAAGAAGAATGACGGCCGGTTAAAGCAACAGATGAGATGGGTCTGCGGAGTCTGTCAGCTGTTAAACCTGCCCTCTAGACCGCTATCGACGGTTTTAAATGATATTTCCACGTGCTTTGCTATGATCGACACGCATTTCGCGTCGTTATACGCGTTAAACTGACAGCAGTTGTGCTGTAGGAAGGAAGCGGGAGAGGAAGAGGCACTGACTGCGCACTGCTGGCCCACTAAACACACACTCAACGGCGAGTTTACTTAAAAGGGCAAGATTGTTTTGCAACATACTTGATAGACACATGAAGGTTGTAAGTATTACTATTAATCAGAGATATCAAAGACTATGTGAAGTCGTTATTGTTTGAATCTTAAGGGTTGTTTTCCGTTCATAGGATTGTTGTTGCGCTTTTGCGGGTCGGTTAAGTTCTAATCGATCATGGCCACAGATGTAATAGCGACTGAAGAAGTCTCAAACCAGAGAGACTCGAGTGATCTGAACGCCAGCAAAAGTAATCCCGAATCAGACACACCCAACCGGACATCTGAGACGCAAGAAAACAGAAATATAAGTAGCGCATTATCGTTATCATCATCGGTTCATTCTGGGGAAGAACCACCTCAGGACTCCATAGCGGGGAATTCGCCGGCGAATGGAGGCAGTGCGATCCGACCAGGAGATCCGCCGCAGGAAGCAGCGACTCCAGACAATAGACAAAAACAAGGCGTGAGGACTTCAACTCCTGTGCGAGCGCCGCAAACACTCTCTTCACCAGCTGAACACAACGGAAGGTAATGGGGACACTGTCTGTGTCTCAAAACAAATGCTGTCTATGTAGGCAGGACACTATGTTTTAGGACTGTCACTGGCACAGTCCATGATATGCTACACTTGGGTTTCCCATGACTATTTTGGGCATTAGTTGAGTTTTGTCGGATAACTATGAGTTTGGTAAACTATTATTTAGCATGAAATTAACAGCAAGAAAAACAACTAAATACATCAAATGTTTGTGTCTCTCCTTAAAGGAATAGTTCAGGCAAAAATGAACATTTGCTGAAAATGTATTCGCCCTCAGGCCGTCCAAGATGTAGATGAGTTTGTTTCTTCATGGGAACAGATTTGGAGAAATGTAGCATTACATCACTTGCTCACCAATGGATCCTCTGCAGTGAATGGGTGCCGTCAGAATGAGTGTCCAAACAGCTGATAAAAAAAGTAATCCACACGACTCCAGTCCATCAATTAACATCATGTGAAGTGGAGAGCTGCGTGTTTGTAAGAAACAAATTCATCATTAGATGAATAAATATATATATGAATATATATATACTTAAATAATATTTTCTCAATTTTTGCACGTTGTAGTTTTGATTTCGTTCGTCAAATTGAACCATTCAACTCTGTTACTAAAGTTATTGTAAGAAAAAGCATTTATTAGTAAAAGTTCTAAGTTATTGTAACTAACACAAAAAATGTTAGATGGGAAACTTGATCTAAAAAAACTTAAAACTAAAATTAGAAATGTTTTCTTGACAACTAACCGAAAATAATGAGAAGATGAAAAAAAAAAAATGACTAAAACTAAAAATAAATGAAAGCTAAATAGAAATGTTTAAAAACAAAAACAAATGAAAGTGACAAAAGCACATAACACAACTTTAAAATTAAAATATAAAAATAAAAGCTCATTTAAAATGTTAATAAATGTTATATTATATAAATAATACAAAAATAAAAGTTTTTTCTGTTTAATTGTACTATTTAATGATTATTGCTAGTAAATTATTATTATTATCATTAGACAAATACAAAAAGGTGCTAACACTGAAAACCCCATATAAAATGAATAGAAAATAAATTCGACATTTCTGAAGGTTAGGAACATTTGTTTAAAAAGAAAACTTTTTTTCCCCCCGACTTTATTTGACACCCTATTCGTGAAGTGCCTTTTGTTTGTGTGCGGTTATTGTCGCTTACTGTAGGGTGTGGTGGCATGCAAAACATACACCTACAGGTGATACATTCATAACGGTCTCTAGGTGTGTACAGTCTATTCAATCATCTACTTATGGCGCTTTTCCACTGCGTGGTACGACTCGGCTCGGTACGGCTCAGTATGGCACGGCAAGGCTCGGTTTGCGTTTCCACTGCAGTTTAGTACCGCTTTAGAGTGGGCGGGATTATTCACATGTCGTTATAGTTGCGCCGCCTCTACTGCCGCGACTCCTAAAAAACCGTTTCATTCCGCGTCGCCCCATCAAGCTCTCGCTGGATCCGCTCCTCTGCTATCAACGAGAGGAACGTCTGTTCTTCCTCAACAGAGGGAACAGACACTTTTTGGTTGTTAAAAAAAGTGCGCTCGTTCAAAACAGTTGCGTTCTATCCTTCGCTGGCTGTGCCGATTTAAATCTAGCGGTT